TGTGGTTTGTGCAGGCCGGAATTGTATACACCAACTCTTGATTTTTGAAATAAGCTTTCTATTGGAGCTGAGCGTTTCTTGCAGCGTAGAGACCTCAGCATGAGGAGGGAACTGCCTGGGCTGATGCTGGGCTACAGCAGTCCTGGAGAAAACACTTAGTAGTGAAGAAGCTGATGGCTCAGATACCAGCTCAGTTTTATCACCGAGATAGGAAATTAATTTAGGTGGAATATGCCTCTTCTGTGCCTCAGTTTCTCCACTAGAAAATGAATACAGCGTGACTTGACTTTTCAAAGTGGGACCTTTTGCCTACAGTTTCTTTTCCTTAGAAAGAAGGGTTGAAAGGGTTTGTGAGTGTGTCTTCCTGCGCGTTCGGAGCGAGCAGGAGTTACTTTTTCTCCCTTTTATTGTCTTCTGTAGGATCTGTGATACACACAGGTGTCTGTGACGCAAGAGAATGGGGACAAGACAGAGCCCCGCCGTAGCTAAATTCTGTCACACCTTTGTGTGGATTGGTATTACTTGAAATTTTCTAGGTCATGTGCACCATTAAAACGATTTCCATGCCTGTGTTTGGAGAATCTGCTGTGCCTATTTTCATTTATATCCATGTGACTGATCCAGGGCTGTATGTTAAGAATATAACTCCTTTTTCCTTTTTTTTTCCCCCTTTTTTTTTAACGATTGGTGTCTAAATATATATAAGAAAAATGCAGACTGGAGCTCTTTAATGAGGCGATAAGTCATTCCTGCCCCTCTTTTTTTTAAAGACAAAACCACCTCACACACTGGTTTCTTTTTCCATGGACTTGTGTTTTGCATTTCTACACATCCATCATAGCATGAAGTCTCTCACAAAAGGGGGTAAGAAAAGGCTGCTGAACAGACCGTTTTGGCGTGAAGAAATCTGGGCTCCTGCAAAGGGAAAACCCCTGCCTTTAGCAGGGAAAGCCACAGACTGTGTGATGATAGAAATTGTTTTGGAGAGAAAGGAAAAAAAATCAAAACTATAGTGGTGAGTAAGTTTAGCCTGCTCTTGAATTGTACAGCTAGGAACAGGGATCATTCGGAAGCAGTTTGCAAAGGGAAATTATTTCCAGTTTTGTTCTTTCCCTTGGCAGAATTGCAAAATTGAAGTGATTGTTGGAAGTTTCTGCCACCTGAAGAAAAAACTTTTATTGCTGGCACCGCTGGTTAAGATGGTGTTGGATGTTGTGAGTGGTGGCTGGGGTGTGTGTGGTGCTGCTGGGCACTGGTGTATGGATACTCTGCTCCTGATTTTGAACCTTGGGTTCTGGGAGGAAATAGCTTTCCTACAGGAACAGCTCTGGTTTGTGAGCACGTTGCTGGGCTCGCTGCTGCAGCAAATGTACCGTGGTTGTGGTTTGACAGCTGGAGTCAGGCTGGGTGGAGAATGGATGGAGAGCAGCCCTGAAGAGAAGGACATGGGGGTGTTGGTGGGTGAGAAGCTCAACATGAACCAGCAACATGTGCCAGCAAGCCCCCACCCCCTGGGCTGCATCCCCACATCCCCAGCAGCGTGGCCAGCAGGGCCGGGGGGGGATTCTGCCCCTCTGCTCTGGGGAGCCCCCCCCAGTGCTGCCTCCAGCTCTGGAGCCACCGACAGCAGAAGGACATGGAGCTGTTGGAGCAGGGCCAGAGGAGGCCCCAGAGATGCTGGGAGGGCTGGAGCCCCTCTGCTGGGAGGGGGGGCTGAGAGAGTTGGGGGGGGTCAGCCTGGAGAAGAGAAGGCTCCGGGGAGACCTTGGAGCCCCTTCCAGTCCCTAAAGAAGGGGGGCTCCAGGAAAGCTGGGGAGGGACTCTGGATGAGGGAGGGGAGCCCTAGGAGGAGGAGGAAGGGTTGGACCCTGCAAGAGGGGAGATGGAGCTGAGCTGTGGGGAAGAACTTGTTTGGTGGGAGGGTGGTGAGAGCCTGGCCCAGGTTGGCCCGAGAAGCTGTGGCTGCCCCATCCCTGGAGGGGTTGAAGGGCAGGTTGGAGGGGGCTTGGAGCAACCTGGTGTGGTGGGAGGTGTCCCTGCCCAGGGCAGGGGGTTGGAACTAAATGATCTTTAAGGTCCCTTCAAACCACAATAATTCTATGATTCTATGGTGGCTGGGTGTGAAATCATGGGTGGCTGAGGGACACCATCACCGATGCTTTGTGGTTCCACAACGTGTCTTGTGGAGCAGCAGCATTGTCTCCCTGAGTTGCTGGGCCTGAATGCTTATTTGTAGCCCAGTGCTGCTGCTTCTGGCAGGACATCTGTTCACGGGTTGTGTTGTAAACTCATTGCTGAAATGTCCGAATTGGGGGGAAAAGAAAAGATGGGCTTGTTTTGGAAGGGCTGCTGCTTTTTTCTCACCGCTTGCAAGCTGATCCCACATGTGGTCAGCGTGGTGACAAGCTCCAAATTGGGGCCTCAGTCTCCTTTTCCTAGAGAAGACCCACCATTGGCTACACACCAAGACTTGCTTTACCAGGGTTATAGAGGAAGAGGTGGAGAGTGACCCTTAGCAATTCCAAGTTGTGGTCATGGATTGAAAGGCAGTATTTTGGTGTATAAAACAGTAGGTCTGTGAGTAATTGTTTAACCATGAAGGATGTCAGAACAGCTGATAAAGGTCGATGAGTTCTCCAAAACACTGGCCTACATGAAAAGTTTCTGAGAGAAGGTAGTCTGGGATGTATTTTTTAATGTAATGACCTCTTCAGCTTGGCAGGCAAACCCTACTAATCAGATTTAGCAGGGCCTTGCATAATGAGAGGTGCTTTATTCATAGGCTGCACATTCACTCGTAGACGTTGAGGCACAATGATAAATTATTGAACTAGAGATACCCCAAGAAGGGAGGCAGGGCCCTGCTGGGCTGCCTTGTCTCTCTGCTTCCCAGCTTGTCCTCTCGCTGGCTGATTCACAAAATCCAGCCGTTTGCAGAAGTGGTCTCTGGGTTATTAATGTTAATTAGCGAGGTTCTGCTCTATGACTGTTCCTGTAGTATGAGCTTTCAAAACATACAAAGTGCTGAGCTCTTCACCCGTGTAACGAGCGTGTATAGAGCTGTATTGTTAATTGGCTGCATCCCTCCAGGGACGTGTGCCCCTCTTGGGAGTGGTAGCTTTGGTGTTTGTAGCTGCTTGTGGCAGTTCGAGCCAGTCCCCTCCGAGACTCACTTACAGACTTGTGCCAGAGTCAAGTTGGGAGATTTTTGGGCTTCATTTTAATCATTAGTTTCTCCTCTGTGCATTCTACTTACTGAACAGTGTGGTCTCTAATATTAGTTCTTTTCAGATTTTTCCATTAGTACCTTGTTTTAATCAGTGCCGACAAAGCACTTGACTCGATACGTGCTCCAGGTAGGGGTCGGGATTTAAGTGTTCTTCAAAAAAGCTTTTATGCTACAAAAAAATGGTGCTCTTCGTGTTGTCAACAGTTTTATATCTCTGCCTTCTAATAACCATCCTGCGATACCACCTTCTCCCTCCGACTGACACAAACAACTCTGTTCCAAGGAGAAATTTCCCCTTGAAAATGCACAAGTGCCATTTGTTCCGCAAGGACCAAGCGGGGCTTTGTTATTGCTCTGATTTAATATCCTTGCTGATGCCGTGCTCCTGTTGTGGGTGTAACATCTCTGAGAGTTATCTTCTCTCTACAACTCGGTAGAAAAACTTCCCCCGCCTTGTTTTAACACCGAGGGCAGTAGAATGGGAGAAGATGAGACTCTTTGCTGTAGAGGTAAATAATAATGGCTGTAAATGAGAACCAAATTATACTTTATGTACGCTCGGGATGAAGAAGCAACATGAGATCATCAGGTCTTTCCAGAAGACCTTCTCAGATAGGTACGCTTTGTCCCTGGTTTTACGGTTTCGGTATCACCCAGAAAACTTCTGGTTTTGCCATTTGATTATAATTTGCATTTAGATTGGCTGCCTGAAGGGGAGTCGCTTGCAAGGGGAGATGGGGCTATATGGCTCGCGTCTCTTGCAGATCTGCCTGAAAGTAATGGCATTTACATAAAAACCATTAGCTCTGTTATTGATAAACATGAAAGGCATCCATTTCATTTAATTTTCTGATGAGGAGTCTTTAATATAAGCATACAATAGCACTGCTGTAGTAGCATTTCTGCCCCCAATCCCTCCTTACTGACCTCTTGTTGTTTTAAGGGCAAGTTTTGACGGGGATTTTGTTGATGGAGAGCTGTGGAGTTATTTCTATTCCAATTCACTCAAGTAGCTGGTTGTCTTGCTACATCGTAGGGAATTATTTAATGCTCATCTTAAGAGGTGTCTCTATTAATTGAACGGGGATTTAATGTCTCCCTGAAGCATAATTGGTCTGTACGTGATGTATACTAACATGTATGTCTAGCAATAGGTTTTCCTTTTGTCTGCATCCCGGCGCCATTCCGTGGGTAATCTTTTGCTTAATCAAAATGGGTTTAAGCAGAAGTTCAGTGGCTCCTTATTAAAGGGATAAAGTGTGTTGAAACAGCAAGTCTATTAAAGGAACTTCCTTGGTACACACTAGATCACGTCCCATCTAACCCCTTGATAAAGTAGTTTTTGTGGCCAGTGAGGAGAAATTTGTTTTCCTGTGTGATACTCTTGACCATGTGTGTAATGGTGCCTTGGTGATCAGCATGTGTCAAAAGGAACTGTGATTCACTGTCTCTGTAGTAATGGGGTTTGTGTAGCCATTGCTGCTACTCTCTTATATAAATAACTTGCTTTATTCTTGGTTTGGGTCAGGCCTGAGCTTCTCGAGACCCTCCAGAGGCAGCTGGTGCCATGGTTGTTTTCAAACCTCACAGCATTTGCTGAAGAGACTTTGCTGTGAGCTTTGTGAGCTCTTTCAGTTCTTGACCTCGGTGTTGTGGGGGTGTGTCTGTGTCTGTTTCACATTGCTTACCTGGCCTACTTTGTTATTTAAAAAAAATAAATAAATTTTTTCGTTACTTTGTCTATATTTACAACTTTTTTCCTCTCTCATAGGCTCCAGACAAATGAGTAGAGAGTTTGGTACAGAAGAAGGACAGATTCCAGTTTTCCAGTTGATCACCTTGTACAGTGAGTACCTTAACACTTCAAGAAAAAGATTTTTCTACTGTGCCTGGTGTTGGTTTAGAATTTGAGCAGCATTAGGTCTGCGTGCTTGGACAACGTTGTCCTGGAAATATAGGCTCCTTTGGCTTAACTCTTGTTTTGGGAGAAGTGGATGTTGACAGCTCCAGCTCCTTTTATCTGAAGTGATAAATTTTTATTTGTATCCCCCTTCCAGTAGCGTGCACGTTTCAGCAGAGCCGAGAATTGATGCAGTCGTGGCTGGTACCTGCTCAAGGCTGTGGGGAATGAAGACTAAAGGTGTTGCCACATAATTTAGCAATGTGTCATGTGTGGTTTCCTGTGAGGAGGCTCTAGGGTCAGGAGAGCAAAGGTGAACCTCCTCTTTTCCAGCCTCCTTGAAGGTGTTGAGGTTGGCAAGGAGAGTGGGTGAGGGACCTGCCACGGCACACGTAGGGGTTACTCATCGAGGCGTGCTGTGAAATCAGGCAAACGAGGCTTGGCTGGACTTATGGGCTGGAAAGGATAAGAAAAAAAGAACTGGAAAGTGTTGCCCAGTTCATGGTAAGGATGGTGGGGTTTTTCTTCTGAAAGTAGAGGAGAAAATCGTTATTTCATGGGGAATTTTTACACATTAAAATAACTTGCATGCATGCTAATGGGCTGTAGTAACAAGGCTGTGCTTTACGAGGTGTCTACAAATATTTTGAAACTGGCTACTGTGAGGGACTTTTGCTAGAAAGTACTAGCTAAAGTTCTAGAACTAGAATGTTCCTTGGATTGTCCTGGTCCATCTGGTGCAGGCCTTTGGAAGTTGGGAGGAGACTCTGCTTCTGGGTGTGAAATGCAGGCACGGCCCCAGCAGGTGAGTGTGGGAGCTGTGCCCATTGACTGCCACCATTGCACAATTCTGTGTCTTTAACAGTCCTTAGCTCCCCTAAGGATAAGGTGGGATGATGAATTTTAAGAACTGAAGCTGTTCGTTAACAAAAGACGAGGACGAAATAATGGGCTTTCAGACTGGATTGTGTCATCAGGTTGGTTTAAATACATCCTGGGAGCAGGGCAGAGAATTCCTGTGCTCCTGTACAAGATGGAGAAAAAGGCTTATGTATTTGTGGCTTCTTAACTTCCCTATATCTGACCATTTCAGGATGCCCTTGGTTGAGATGGTCTATTCCTACCTAGTAGCTCACTGATTTAGCTTGTTATATTCTGGGTTCAGAGCAGTCTTTTTACCCTCCTTTTGCTGTGTGCCAGACGCAGAGGGGACTCTCCTCAGCTGGTACAGAGCTGGAATTGACAGGGTGGTGAAGAATAAAACTGGAAGGAGCAGAGAGGTCGTGTGAAGAACAAAAGATGCTTTTATTGACCAACGGTGCCATCGTGCCATGGTCTTAATCGACAGATCTAATCCCAATGTGTGTTTAGAGTCAGATCTGCTGACTTCAGTAGCTAAAATAAGTCGATACCATTGAATTCTCTCTCTCCTTGCATATCTTAAGGAGAATGTACTAAGTTGCAGCCTGACAGCTGTGCAATCCGTGGAAGGCCATGAGGCTGCATAGGCTTCCCCGAGGGCATAATTTGGCCTGTAGAACATCTATTACGACGAGTGTCATGTGCAGCAGGCTCAGCAGTGACCTTCAGAAGCTGTTACGCGTTGGCGGGCCTGATGGCTGGAAGAATGAACGTAGGAGACAAGGATTTCAGGTTTGGAGTCCTTTTGTAGGGCAGAAGTCTGTGATTAAAGCAAGAAGACTGCATGTATGAACCGAGGTCAGTAGGAGATCGCCGAGAGAAGGGCTGTTCTTGGCAGAGAGCTGGAACAGAAGAGATGCTGGAAACGTGGTCTATGATTGCCATCAAACAGAATGGGAAAACACCCTGTTTCAGGGGAGTCTTTAACAAGGCATTCTTAGGCAAACCCTCTCTGTGGCACTAAATATCTAAATAACTGGGCTGCGACTGGAATATAAAAATGTTTTCAGGAGACTCATCTTCAAGCATCACCTGAGGCTTTCTCCCTTGGTAGCAAAACTAAGTATTGTAGGGAGCTTGTGTTGCAGGTCCCTTCCTATGAGGATGTGGCATCATCTGTTTGAACGTGAGTGTAGGTCTGATGCTTCCTGTGCGAGCACCAGGCTTAGCTGTGTATATGCTTGTGTGGGTTTTGTCTGCTTATAATTGCAATTAAGAAGGTTAAGTAAGAGCAGTTAGTTTGGTATCGCAAGGAGGATTTGTGCTGCCTGTTCCTCCTGCCTGCAGTCCTCCTGAGGAGCAGTGGGCAGCAAGGGATGTGAATGAAAAGCTGCTGCTCTTCTCAGAAGATGCTATAGACTCTTGCTTGTTTCATTAAAAACTCAGAATGTGACAAACACTTGAGCTGTGGGAGGCCAGAGGACTCTCCTGTCTCCAGCAGTGGCCAGTAGAAACGGCTTTCATCTCACATCATTTTATTTAGCTTTTATTTGAACCCACGTGGGCTTTTGGCCTCTGGTGTTTCAAAGTTTAACTATAACTTTGTGTGATGAACTACCTCCTTGTGGTAACTGAACCTGCTGCCAACTAGTTTACTGTAATAAGCTCCTGTTCAGGGAATTGTTGTTTGCATGTTTGCCAATTCCACGCTGGTTTGGGTTCTGTAGATCCCTACTGTGTCCCCTGTCAGAGGTCTCTTTTCCAGATGAAAACATCCTAATTAATTCAGCTGTCCTTACAGAAGATGCTCCATGTCTTTGACCATCTGCACTACTCTTCTGTCCTCTTTCCTTTTGATGGTAACTTCTGGTCATGGTGCATATCTGGTTTTTTTCTCCTCTTGAATATTCTTAGTCCCACTAATTAGAAGCTTGAAAGAACCATTAGGTTTCTGAGGACCTGTCCTTTTCCTTCAGATCTCTTTTATTTATAGCCCTAAAAAAGAAACTAGGAATTTTGTATGCTCCATGTAATAATGAGCCATACACCTATTTTTTTTTCTAAAAAGCTGAAGTTTGTGTCTAATCTAAAGATGTTATCAGAAGAGCTCTGAACAACTGAGTCACTAGAACAATATAGTATTTAACAAGGAGCCCTGGCAGACCTTGTGTGGCTTCGTGCTAAAGCTGTCAGCCTGGATATGAGCTGTATCTTTGTATCCTGCAGCAGTTTCATGAAACTAAGTGGCTGATGGCATGCACTGCATCTTCTAAATGGGGACAAGAAACACTCTGGCTGTTAAACCTCCTTCCCCTCTCCATTGGTTAAGAGGGGAAATGATATCAATAGAGGCAATTAGTCTTATTTAGATAAATAGAAATCAGTGTCATCAAACAGGTACTGGTTCTGCAAGGGAAAGGCCTGCCCCTCCTTCCCCCGTGTTCTGTGTAAGTGATATTTGTTTTATTAGTGCTGTGTGGCTTCCCAAAAGTAGAACCGGAATGCAACATTTTAAAAGTCTTTAATATCCAGTGCTGGCCTGCAGACTGACATGCCTGGGGCTGGGACAACTCTGTGGTTTGTCTATCTGCCCTGACTCATATCCGTGGCTTTGCCCTGAGGTGAATCACAGCTCCCACAAGGGTGGTTAAAGTCCTGCCCTGGGGACAGCCTGGGAAACGGAGGCCTCAGTTCAGCTCAGGTGAAAACACTTGGGTGTTTTCCTCTTCCTCAGCACTGAGTCAGAGCTCCATGGATCACCCAGAGAAATCTCCCCCTGTGTTGAGGCTTATCTTTCGAGTCCCGGGGCATGGCTCCCCCACACCTCCCAGCTCCGTGGCTGTTCCTCCCACTGGGTTTTTCTGCCTCTTTCCTCTCTGCCACCTTCCCCAGTGCTTCCTTCCTGCTTTTAAAACCAAAGAACCCCCACACTAATTCGGGCCAGTCTGTGCTCTGCTGGTGGCTTTTGTTCTGTTCAGAGAAGCCAAAGGACCTGGCTTCTCTCTGCCTCAGCCACCTCCTTGTTTCAGGGGCCCATGTTGATCACTGTTAGGGTGTGGTGACCACTTCTGCCTTACCAGTACCATGCCAAAAGCCCTGCAACTCCTTTGTGCCAGTCCATGGTATCACAGGTCTGTAAATTAGACCTACAGGTGTGGGCTGACCAAGTCCTCATAGCAGCTTTCTCCTGGAGGAGCCGGTGTTGCTGCTGCACCCAGGAAAGTATGTCAAGAACCGTACAATCCTTTCATTGCACAGATTTGTTTAGACACTGGTAATAAAACACCAGGTCCCTAAAGCCTCACCTGGTCTGCCAAGACGTGTCACCTTGGGCACACTGAGCTTTTCACAGCCACACAGCCCTGAATCCAAGGGGGCACAAGGAGGAGAGAAATACACCCAGAAACCATAGGTTGATCTGGGGTCTGTCACTACCCAGGGTGTCCCAGGCCCAGCTTGTTCAAAGTGAGTGACTCTTGGCACAAGGCTTTTTCATTCTTTCCTTGCCTTCTTCATATATAATATATATATATTTTTTATGGTTCTTTCTCATTCTTCTTTTTACCCATTCTTAGGTGAAGTTGCATGCAGCTTGCTTGCCAGCCCACAGACAGCCTACTGTAACAATTTCAGATGTAGCTTAGCAAGATAGTAAATTGAGAGTAATTTTTAATCTGGTTGGGATAAGAACAGCCAAATTGGCTGTTTCTCCTGTTGGTTTCAGCGTTATTTTTGGCCAGGCAATTCTAAGAGGGTGTGAATGTGCCAGACATCGATCCCTCTGAAAGAGGGATCAGCTCTTCCTGGACAGCACTAAAACACTGTGTCTATTTATTTATATTTTATTTCTTTTTAGTACATTGACTGAACAATATAGCCAGCAAGGAAAGGGCTTGTTAAATGCTGACTTATGTGTTGGATTTTTGTCCTGTCCAGGAAAATATCTTGTGATGGAGAGACTCCACGTAGGGGAAACCTCAGGTGTTAGCTTGGAGTGAGGGAAGGTTTGGAGACCTCGTCGGGATCCCTGCTGGGGTCCAGCGACGCTTGGAAAGCAGCGTGCTATAAATGGGGAGCTCCAAAAA